TGAAAATGAAAGTTTCAGCGGTAGCAAGGCACAAAGCGGCAACTTTGAAGGTAACATTTCTGATCAGCTCTTCCCTAACTTTAAAAACAGAACGTTTTTCTTTATGTTCGAGGATAATAATTCTCAATTCAGAAACACGGTAGTTGATCTAGGCGAAAAAGTAGAGGGATTATTTGATGTTCTCAAAGTAAGATATCTCGTTGTAAATAGCCGGAAAACTGCTTGCCAGCTTGTACCGTCTGTACAATTCAATACCTATTCACGCGGCCAAAGAGCAATTAAGAGCTCCTCCAAGTATTTTTCCTGCAGTGTTTCATATGATGCTAAAATCGTGGACGTCGCTGAAAAAAAAACAATATATCAGTGTATTCCAAAGTGAAAAATGAGATAGGAACGAACTGACCTCAAAAACCCAAGGCCGGAAATGCGCAAAAATTAGAGAACTAAAATCCTCATTTTATCACAGTTGAAGATCAGTCCAGGAGGTTTTGCCCCGTTTTAAAAGAATTTGACAAGTTTCCGACTTTAAACGTAGAGGAAGACCGAGAATTCAACAGGGCTTTGGGCGGCGAACACAAAACAAGTAAAAAGGCTCATTGAGAACATTGTCGAGAGCACGCATTAGATAGTGAGCTGGATTTCCACTGCAAAGGGGAGCGTCATAAATCCATAATACAGCAATCAGGATACTGGAACAATCTTGACGCCCTAATCTATAAACTACCGTCTGTTGAGAAATTAGAGGATCAATAAAAAAGCAATTTTCAATTCGATGTATTTTGATAAATTTTTTGATGTAAACAAGAATTGTAACATGAAGAGCTGAGTTTACGTAATTTTTCTTATTCAGTTATTTATTTTAAGCCTCTACTATGTACGGGGAAGGTGGAAAAAAATGCCTTACCTGATAATATAAGATATTTCAAGTTCTGATTTTAAAATATCTGACAGACACAAATTGTCTGCAATTTAGAAAGTTTCATCATACCTTCTTAGTTGTCATCTTAACAAAATTAAGCATGCCGTAATAATAAAAAAGGAGAAGTACCGTAAGGAAAGTTCGCAAAGTGAAAAAGACCTGGAGGTTGGGATAGCGAGAAGTGTCCTGCTGTTTCTTTGAAAGAAGGTAAGGCTCTCAAAACCAAAGTGATAATTGTGGTAATTAGGCCCTTTGCAGCTAGAGGTCACGTGCTTGGATACTGCATAGCAACACAAAACTGGAGAGCAAGCGCTCCAGTAAACAAACTCTCGTAAGAGGTCAAGCATATCTGGCTTTAGACAATAGTTTTCTGTTCATTACGCTCAATCCTTTTGCATTATCTACGAAAACTGTAAGATATTTACTAAGTCTCTCGTTCGGACTCGATTTTTGGATGGAAGGCACGATATTTTTCTCGAAATCGTAAAAAAACTGTCACTAACAACCCGCTCGACGGCTAAAAAATATGGCGGCTTCGCAAGGTATTTACTTCAAAAAATATACTTTTTTCTGCTTTTTTACAGTTATTGGACTTCTAAAGTCTATGAAAATAGAATATTAGATCGAAAATAGCAATCGAGTGGAATTTTACGGCATTTTACGCCCGATTTCTGACGATATTAGGAGAGTAATTATGCGTCTTATATTGAGACTAAACGCAATGCTAAAATTCACTGTAGATTTCGAAACTGCCGACGAGCCATCAGACCCGAAGAAGAAATCTTCATACCATTGTTGTATTCCCTTGTGTAACGGGGATTCTAGATATCATCCTGAATTGAAGTTACACCGTTTACCTGGCCGGGCAAAGGATGACCAAATGCGCATGGCTAAGTTGTAGTCTAGACAGAAAAGTTTATGATCTTGATGCAGTAAATAATGGTGAGAATCCATTTGGCTTATTAGAAATAAAAGTTGTCAAAGAAGGTGAAACTTCATTTCACAACGTTAGACATCTAACTAAGGACCAGAACACTAACTAGTACAAACTGAAGACAATAGACAATTATTACTACCAGATTCAGTTCCAGCTTGGAATCACAGGATTAGAATGGTGTGATTTTTTTTAGTTACATTGATGACAATTTTTTTTTTTTCTCTAGAATTAATTTCGATCCAGTGTTCTTCCATTGTTCGTTTTTAGTATTTATAGAACTTATTTTTATACATTCTTGACTCGATAATGACGTTATGTTAACATCGAAACGTCGTCGATTTTTAGCTTTCTATAGCTTTTTATCGTTTTTAAATTTTACAATGTTATCAAGCAACGTTTTGTCGTAAGTTTTTATCTTCAAATGTTATTTCAAGTCACTTCTTCTTCGTCTAAATGTAGTGTTGAATTCTGTTTTGCTAACAAAAAGATGCGATTCAGACTGAAAATAGTGGGATTCGTGCTCGAATCATATAATTTGAACCAATCAAACTACAGGATTTGATGGTGATTTCAAAATGGAAATAATAAATTGGAATATCTGGGAAGTATAAATTACAGAGCAACCTGTGTTTTGTTTGAGAAGTCAATATTCATCATGTATCACGGAAGGGTGCAGTAAAATTCAGTGCGATCAAAAATATGTAAAAAAAATCCATAGGGAAACAGAAACATTTTTATATTAAAATTGGGAGTTGCAAAGTTTTTAGCCTTTCTTTGTGTAGGGTTTTAATCTTTGAAGATGATAAATGATGATCAGCTAATTTGTTGTCAATTAAAATTTAATTAAACTGCCCTATTCCCTCTGCCATACATTGTGAACACAGTCGTAATGTATTAAGTAATTGAAGAAAAAACTATCCACTTTGTCCTTTGCTTCCTGGAAGAACACTGGATCAAAATTAATTCTAGAGAAAAAAGACAAATTGTCATCAATGTAGCTAAGAAAAAATCACACCATTCCAATCCTGTGAGTCCAAGCTGGAACTGAATCTGGTAGTAATGATTGTCTATTGTTTTCAGTTTGTACTAGTTAGTGTTCTGGTCCTTAAATAGATGTCTAACGTTGTGAAATGAAGTTTCACCTTCTTTGACAACTTTTATTTCTAATAGGCCAAATGGATTCTCACCATTATTTACTGCATCAAGATCATAAACTTTTCTGTCTAGACTACAACTTAGCCATGCGCATTTTGTCATCCTTTGCCCGGCCAGGTAAGCAGTGTAACGTTAATTCAGGATGTTATCTAGAATCCCTGTTACACAAGGGAACACAACAATGGTGTGAAGATTTCTTCTTCGGGTCTGATGGCTCGTCGGCAGCTTCGAAATCTACAGTGAATTTTAGCATTGCGTTTAGTCTCAATGTAAGACGCATAATTATTCTCCCAATATCGTAAGAAATCTGGCGTAAAATGCCGTAAAATTCCACTCGATTGCTATTTTCGATCTAATATTCTATTTTCATAGACTTTAGAAGTCCAATAACTGAAAGAAGCAGAAAAAAGTATATGTTTTGAAATACATACCTTGCGAAGCCGCCATATTTCTTAGCCGTCGAGCGGGTTGTTAGTGACAGGTTTTTTACGATCTCGAGAAAAAATATCGTGCTTTCCATCCAGAAATCAAGTCCAGACGACACATTTAGTAAATATCTTACAGTTTTTGTAGATATTGCAAAAGGATTGAGCGTAATGAACAAAAAACTATTGTCTAAAGCCAGATATGCTTGACCTCTTACGAGAGTTTGTTTACTGGAGCGCTTGCTCTCCAGTTTTGTGTTGCTATGCAGTATCCAAGCACGTAACCTCTAGCTGCAAAGGGCCTATTAGATAAGGAGTATCACGAACTCCCGCAATGACATATCATCACGCATTCCTTAGTGTCGTTTATTAGAGAGACTGGGTTCGAAATAGCCATTGCAGAGTGGACGTAAACACCAAAACAGCCAACAGCGTAAACAAAAAAAAAAACAATCAGCCAATATTATTTCGTTGCTGGCTATGCCATATAGAGCAGAAGAAGTGGGGAAGAGTAAACGTTTTGGTCGTTTTTTGTAGAGAGAGGAAAAGAGGCTGCTTGGGTGATTTGTTTCCGCCGTCCGCTGTTTTGTTGTTTACGATCGATCGACAGTCATTTACTGCAAAAGTAAGGCACGAAGGCGATTATTTAGCCTGGTTCTCAGACGATCTAAGGGCGCTCTTGTGATTTTGACGGATATTTGAGCAAGTGGATTCAGACCGTCTGATATTTAGGCTAATATCGACTCATAAGTTACGAGATATTCATCAATTCTGTGGGTTTCTTTATATTTATAGCAACAAAAATCTGGATGCTGTGCTGAGAAATGCTTATATAAGCCATGGATCTTGCAGAGATGTGCATGATACGTACGAATCTTCAAGACGATAGCTCGGTGCAAAAAAGGCAAATCGTACTTGGCTGGCTATGGATGCATGCCAAACCAAATAAAAGGTACAATACATCTTATGTTGTCCTTTAGTTGCACCAACAAGTTTCTTCTCGTAGATTGTCTAATCATAAATCAGACTAAATCACATAAAACGTATTGGTAACCGTCCCTTTATAACGTGATTCCTCATGTTTGTTTCCTAGTGACCTTCAAAGCATCCCTTATTATCTTAGTGGACAAAGGGAAGCCTTGATCGAGTACAAATCGTTAAGGTATGTTGTACTGCTCATAAGGAAATGAAGTTTGAAAAGTGATACATTTCAATGAATAGTTTACCTTAATAATTTATTATTAATGATTTGTGACAATCTATTGGCACTATGGGGTAGGGATTGCAGTGATCATGAAAAAAAAAATTCCTTCAAATCCAATTTATGTTTTTACAGGTAAAATTCAATTTCTTAATGGTTTGACACACTCATGAAGCTGTTGAGCAGATGTTTTACGAGTAGGACCAACCGCATACACTACAACACCTCCCCTGTAAGCCAGTCTCTTGTCCCCTAAAGTCCTTAAGAATTTAAAGTTTTCCAAAAGTTCAACACAACATGCTATCAGTTAAAAGAATCAGTCTTAACCTCCCCCCCCCCCAAAAAAAAAAAGCAGTTCAATGTTCACAGATCCATCCGAACTGGGGGTTGCCGCACTCTGGAAGGGTATCGTTTCACAGGAACATGTTCAATCTGGCTCGGTGAGCTGCTAGCGGACGATTCAGCCACTGGATTGCATTTTGGTGACTGGCAGTCTGTCTCCCTCGAGACAACTTTTGTCTGTTCAGGTGGTTCAGCTACTGGGTGATCAGTGGTCGTAGCTGGGAGTGAAAAAGGCAAGGGGCTTGAAACTGACAGGTGTCAGTCTGCAACAGGAACATTGGAATCTCGGAGTTGATCCGTGTGTCGACGCCAAACTAGGTTAGGCCCAGTCTTCACTTTATAAGACAGGGGTCTCAATCGTGCACGGACAATACCGGGTACCCCCTTTGACTTTCCAGTGTAGTTTCGTGCTATCACCCTCTGACCAATGGAAAAATGCCTTGTTACACAACCACTCTTGGCAACAGACTGGTCCATCTGTCGGTTGTTTACCTGGATGTAGAGATCTGGCTTTAACAAGTCCAGTCGAGTGCGTAATCTTCTTCCCAAAAGCAACTGGGACGGTGGCTCTCCGGTGGTTGAGTGGGGGGTGTTCCTATAAGTTAGCAAAAATCTCTCGCTAACTTAATGTTCAAAGATGTCACCTCAGTTTCGATCTTCATTGCATTGGCATTCTTGAAACTCTGGACAGCACGTTCTGCTAGGCCGTTGGTGGCAGGGTGATAAGGTGCTGAGGTGATGTGTTTGATGCCGTTTCTCTTAAGGAATTGCTGGAACTCTTCTGATGCGAACTTAGGCCCATTATCACTCACTAACTGGGCTGGTACGCTATATCTTGCAGACAACTTCTGAGGGGTTTCAGTGGTTTTCGCTGAAGTTTTAGTGTTCATTTTCTCTATCTCCAGCCAACGTGAATGTGCATCCACTACCACTAAAAACATACTGTTAAGGAAGGGACCTGCGAAATCGATATGAATTCGTTGCCAGGGCAACGAAGGCCATTCCTATGGGTGCACTGGCACTGTACTGGGCTCCCTCTGTACTAGTTGGCAACCTGGGCAGGACTTAGCAGACAGTTCAATTTCTTTATCTATTCCAGGCCACGAGGTGTAGCTTCGGGCCAAGGCCTTCATCTTCACGACTCCCATATGTCCCTGATGAAGTTCCTTGAGAACTTGAGGGCGTAGTTTTGGGGGTACTATTACTCTTATTCACCACATCAAACAACCTGATTGTAACGTGATCTCATCTTTGCGAACAAAATAGGGGTTGAGTTCAGGTTCATGGTTGTGTGGCCATCCCTACCTAGTCATTTCATGCATTTGGGCCAAGACAGGATCTCTTTGTGTCTCTCGTCTAACGTTCTCCACCGTGACTGGCAAAGGGTCAAACTGCATCAAATTAAATGCACCCACTGGGTCAACCACTTCTTCATCTTTGGCTTCCGTTACCAGTGGTAGGCGGGAAAGACCATCTGCATTGCTGTGAAACTTAGTGTTCTTGTATTGAATGGAGTAATCATAGCCAGCCAGGAACAAGGCATAACGTTGAAGATGTGTTGCGGTGACCACGCGAATGCTCTTCCGCGGATGAAATATTGAAGTTAATGGCTGATGATATGTGCATATAGTGAAAGGACGGCCAAACATATACATGTGAAACTTCTTGACACCCCAGATTATTGACAAAGCTTCCTTGTCAATCTGCGCATACTTTTGCTCAGTTTTTGTTATTGTCTTTGAAGCAAAAGCTATAGGTCGCTCGGTACCATCGTTAATTACGTGAGAAAGCACTGCTCCAATGCCTACGGGGGATGCATCACAAGCAAGTCTAAGTGGCAGACTGGGATCATAATGTGTTAGAACTTGCTCTGAAGTGATCATTTCTTTCACCTTGTGGAATGCTGCCTCGCATTGCTCTGTCCACTTCCATAGGTGGTCCTTTCCCAAGAGTTAAGTCAAGGGGTGGACTGTTGTCGACAGGTTAGGTAAGAACCTGTGGTAGTAGTTGATTAACCCGAGAAATGATCTTACTTCAGCTACGTCGTTCGGGCGTGGTGCTTCCAAAACCGCTTCTACTTTTGCTGTTGACTTGTGAAGGCCATCCTTGTCAATCTAATGTCCACAATAAGTTATCTTCTCCTTGAAAAACTCACATTTGGCTTTGTTAGCTCTCAAACCATGAAACTGTAGCCGTCGTAGGACTTCTTCTAAGTTAGCCAGGTGTTCTTCATCACTCTTGCCAGTGATAATCATGTCATCAAGTATACAGCTTGTGCCAGATGTCCCTTCCAGCACTTGATCAATGGTGCGTTGCCAGATAGCGGGTGCTGAAGTGATGCCGAACACTAGTCTATTGTACTGGAACAACCCCATGTGTGTGTNGATTTGAACGTTCCAAGTTTGTCTTCAAAAACATCAGAGTATTTGTCTAGCATGGTTTGCAGCTGCTCCTTAGTAGTTGATAGGGTTTGTGAAGCTTTCAATGACTTAATAGCATACCAATCTAGGCGTACCTTGTGAAGCCAATCCCTTCCCATCAACACAGGGCCCTTGTTCTTAACCACATACAGATCCAACAGCAATGGTTGCTGGTCTTTGTACTCAACATTTACCTTCAGCACTCCAGCTGGGAAAATGTTCTCTCCAGTATAGGTTTTCAACATTAATTTAGTTTCTTGCAAGGGCTTGTCGTGAAATTTCTCCCTGTACAAATTATGTGGAATAATCGACACAGCTGAGCCTGTGTCCAGTTCCATTTTCAGTGGTTTACCTTCCACTTTCAGATCGATCCAGATTACAGTACTGCTCGGTTTGCTTACATTGTGTATCTGTATGCTTCCTAATACATCTTCAAATTCATCGCTCTCACTGTACTCAATAGAATGGACTTGAGTGTTAAGCGGTGGTTTCGGTGGTTGTTTTGGCTTACCTTGTTGTTTCGAGCGACAAGCTCTTGAAATATGGCCCACCTTCCCACAATGATAACATGTTTGGTCCTTGAATCTGCAATTGTGCGTTGCGTGCGAGTCTCCCCCACATCGATAGCAAACTTTAGTGGTGGGGTTCGGCGATGGCGCTTCTATGTGGTTGTCTGAGATCTTGTCAACTCGAGGTTCTGATTGAAGCTCACTTTGCAATTCTGAAGCATCACGAATGGCCGTTTCCATTGCTGCTGCTATTTCCAGAGCCTTAGAATATTTCAGTTTGGCTTCTGAAAGCAAACGTTTTTGTATCTGCACATTTCTAAAGCCACAGACCAGTTTATCTCGTAAAGTTTCGTTAAGGTTGGCCCCAAAGTTGCAGTGGGTTGCTAATTTCTTCAGGTCTGCTACATAGGTCAACACAGTTTCTCCTTCACGCTGAATCCGTTTGTAGAAACGAAGACGCTCCACTATTTCTAATGGTTTAGGACTTAAGTGTTGCCGAAGAGTCGTGACGATCTCCCGGAAGCTCTTCGTAGCTGGTTTATCTGGTGTAAGAAGATCTCTCAACAATGTGTACGTTTTACTACCGATCAAGCTTAACAAGGTTGGCACTTGGTGGTCTTCATCGATGTTGTTTGCTGAGAAAAACTGTTCCATCCGTTCTACATAGGTTTCCCATTTCTCCTGTGTTTCATCAAAACTTTCTATCTTTCCGATAGCAGTCATACCTTCGACGGTCTGCTACGACTTTATCCTCGTCGCCACTGTGATGTATTCATTTTTATTTCGAAAAGCACATGGAATAAATAATGCGCACACGTGCGCATGCTTACAAGAAACAACTGCATACACTACAATTTCATTAAATTAAGTTGAGAGGAAAACTCTCTTTGAGAATAGTTACATTTCAGAACCATCTTATTAATGCTGCCGAATACTTGGTCAAAGTTTCACTGCTGGGATGATACTATTGCCAGCTTCAAAATTCTAATTTTACACATATGTTGTTGTTAATTGATAGTCATATTAAATTGTGTCTTACAGGCTTTCTGAATTTCTGGTAAAGAAGGACGCAAGAACCTTTAAAGGTACTGTTAGGAGGAATGCAATAAGTGAACTTCTAGCTTGGAAAATGATTGTTCTGAATTTATCTTTTAAAATTTGAGCACCTGTCATTTGACATTGATACCATAAGTAAGCTGGTGTTATCCAATTAACAAACAAAATGAAAAGAAAATATCTGCAGAAGAGTAGATTTGTATAATTATTGAGATGGTCATGTAAGTATATTGTAAGCCTTCAACTGATTGATGTTTGTCGTCTCCTGACAATATGGATGGGTACAATATCTTAAAATCTTTTCTCTTGTTAACTGGTAGAGCTAGTGCCCTCTTTTGAGAGTTGTTACACCCCAACTCCAAAGGCTGTAGAGGTTGAGGATGTTTTTGCTGTGAAGGAGTAGATGTCGCCCTTTTCAACTGCACTCCGCAATATCTCAAATCCTCATGCTTTTGAATTTACAAAAGCTCCTTCGGGAAAAGTCGTTATGCACTTACAAGAACTGGGGGAGTGATAAAGACGAAAACTGGAAACCGGTAGACCCTGATCCAGAACAGTGGTTAACTGTAATTGAAGTAGGTGGAAATATCTGCTGTACAATGGAGAATAAATAACAACAAAAATTCTCAACAGTAGTTTCCATCAATAATTATACTCTGTTCATACACTGAAGATATTACCTGTTTTGCTCAGTTGGAGTGTGATGATCTTACATTTTAATTTTTAGCATTATACAAGACCAATAATAATAATAATAGTAATAATATTAGTAACAATGACAAGTACTATTAGAAAAACCGCAAAGTGATAGACCTCTGTTACAGCTTGATGGTATTACTGTAAGTTACTAGTTAGAAGCTTATTTATTGTTGAGGTCATTTCATTCTCCACTGTCTGATTCATGTCCTTCAAATATGAAATTTCTGGAATAAGTGTTTGTGCTACAGTTTTTTAAGCCTGGTTTTCATTATTTTTGTCACGCTGATGCAGAAAGAAATGTAGATGTCCCCCCAGATTATGTTGCTCCAGATACAGAGAAGCTCGAGCTTCAACCGCTCAGATCAGAAATTGAAAAGTATTTCAGACGATTATTTCTGGAACAACATAAAGAAGATTTGGCATCACTACCTTACCCCGAAAATACCAGATGGCATCCACCAGAAAGGACAGTTACTTGTGTGGCCATTGAAAGAAATCATTACAAACAAGGAAAGAGTTAAAAAAAAGACAAAAACAATTGGACGCTGCTGGGAATAGTGTGGGTTTACTGGAGCAAATGAAAAACCTGAAGGTGTCCCTGGGGATGTGGATGATATGGTCAGAACTCAAGTTGCTCCTGTGCGAGAGGTGATTTATGCTCAAAATTAAGACATACAATGTATGCTCAACTCAAACCTCCTACTTATGCAAACTTAGCTATTTTGGCCAAATTGTACATGCCCACAAGACCTTTCCATCATGTGTTTTATTCAAATAGTGTCAGCCACAGCTGAATTTTCCTTTGTGTGACCACACACACACTTGCCTATCAAAAAGCTTTCACATAATTGTCCTTTGAATTAAATCAAGTTGTGTAGATAACTTGACTCAACTAATAATTTGTTTACAATATTGCAGGTGTACAGTGGAGCTTGTAGGACCCAGACGGCTCAGCCCATGGTCACCGAGGTAGATAACTTTGAAGAAGTTCTGCCAGGTAGCATTGTAACAGTTGCAGTTAATCTTGATGGAAACTACAAACCTCCCCATTTGGCAAAGGTAAAGGAAGTCACTAACTCTTCCTTCACTGTGCAGTGGCTAAAAGGTACTTACAAACAAAAGTGGGTATCATGGCCTGGATGGACTTCCAGCAAAATTCCTAAAGAAACTGTAATCTATTTTGACATCGAATTAGACGAGAATGATAAACTAAGAAAGGAGTCTGTCCAGTACTTAAGGAGGAGATACAAAGAATTAAAAAAAAGTTGAAATGTATGTGTATGCATGTATCTAGGTTTTTCCATTGAAACTTACCCATCAAATTAGTCCCAAAATGTCTAAGATGATCTAGGCACGTGTATGGAAATTTCCACAGATCTTTCCTTAAACATGGCTAAAATTGTAAGATGTTCAGTCATCAACAATCTAGACGTGTATGGAAATTTCCATCGGTCTTGAAGTAACATGGTAAAGTATAAGGCCGTGCTCAGTTATAACTGATCCGCGCTTGTGCATCGAAATTTCCATAGATCTTCCAGTAGAATGTTGAAATATAAGATTTTCAGTTATAATCGATTCACACTTGTGAATGGAAATTTCCATAGATCTTCCAGCAGAATGGTAAAAATATAAGATTTTCAGTTATAATCAATTCACACTAGTTTATGGAAATTTCCATAGATCTTCTAGTAGAATGATGGAATGTAAGATTTTCAGCTATAATTGATTCCCACTTGTGCATGGAGATTTCCTTAGATCTTCCAGTAACATAGAAAATGTTAGAATTGTTTAGTTAAAATCGATCTACACTTGTGCTCGCAAATTTTTTTCCTTCATCACCTTCAGGTAACATATGAGATTTTCAAAAATAGCTTATCCAAACAATCATGTGCATGGAAATTTCCATAGATCTTTCATCAGCATGGTATAATGTAAGATCTTCAATTATAGCTTATCCACAAAATGTGCATGGAAATTTCCATAGATCCTCCATCTACATGGTAAAATGTAAGATCTTCAGTCATAGCTGATCCACACAATGTGCATGGAAATTTCCGTAGATCCACTGACATGGTAAAATGTAAGCTAAGATCTTCAGTTATAGCTGAACCCCACGATGTGCATGGAAATGACCTTCAAGGCCTTTTCATTAGCACGGAAAAATGTAAAGAATGTGTTCGTTGTAGTCGATCCAGAAGT